CCACCCGCCCGCCCACGGCATCCTTTAACCTCGGGGTCAGCTCATATTACCCCGACGACAGATTTACGAGCACGGGCCTAATCCAAGACCTGTTAAACCCCTCTGAAGCTGCTGAACGAGTGCCCTGGCTCACTTAACAGATCTGATCACAGAGAAAAATAATTGAAGGGACATTTGTCAAGAGTTGGGGGATGCATCACAGAGCAATGTCGTGTTAAGTGATTGTGAAACAAGCATGCGCAGAGAGACTTAAGTGGAAGCAGCCATGCGGTCAGTGGGCGTGCTGTACCTCCAGAGTGCGTAAGCCCGGTAGCTGCTGCGGCTCTTTCCTGACCTGAGCGTGCTGTCCAAGGAGACGGTGGACTCGCCCATGGCGGCACAGTACACGTGCCCGTCGTCCGTGTTGTTGCAGTTCAGGGAGCGCTGCCAAACACCCCGACGAGTCAGCGAAAAAGCGCAAACACACACACACACACACACACACACACACACACACACACACACACACACACACACACACACACACACACACACACACACACACACACACACACACACACACACACACACACACACACACACACACACACACACACACAAAAAAATGCAAGCGGTTCCTCACTGTGAGCAAAGAGGCCCGCGTGGCGGTTGTCTCCTCGGCGAAGTTCTTCTTCCCCGTGAAGACGTTCTTGAGATGCTTCCTCACGTCTTTGTTGAAGATGATGTGGAAGAAGAAGATGAAGATGCCCTGTGAACCGAAGACGATTGCGTTCAACGGCAGCTCCAAACTGCACCGCGGAGGTCAGGCGGTTTGCTTTCGCAATCAACGCCGTCTTGACACTCGACTGCGCGCAAGTGGCACGTTTGTAGTGGCACTCGGGAATCACCTGCAGACAGCTGAAGCCGGCAAACAGGTAGTGGAAGGTCAGCACGTCGCTGTTGACCGCCATCAGGCCCAGCAGCCAGGTGGCGCTGATGAGCAGCAGCAGCAGGAAGGCCATGCGAAGAGCTGGGCTAAGGAGGTACACACACACACACACACACACACACACCAAGATTCACGGCAGAAGATTAAAATGTGAAGTCTTTACTTTATCTCATGGGATTATAATTCATATGTGATATTCGTAAGGAACATCGACGCTTACATCGCGCCTGACTTCTCAACCGCCTTCTGCCTGCGACCACAGGAAGCCTTCGCGGCCAAGATAAAGATCACAATGTTCACCTATGGATACAAAAAATGTTTTAAAAATCGGAAGGAATTCTGTGCTGATGCTTTGCAGGGTTTACTAGGTCAGAGCAAAAACACACACCAAAACCACGACAAATATGGGTCCCGCAAAGCTCCAAATGAGCGTGTCGTGCACGGACAGCCAACAAAAATCGGGGTTCCCGTAACCCTGCGGGTCCAGGCCGACGGCCAAGCCTAAAACACAAGGAACCCAAAACAGATCCATGAAGAACTAAACCCAATGAAGAGTCCGGGAAGCTGGTTAAAAGTGAAGCTTTTTTTTTTTTTTTTACCGGTGATGATCGCCGGAATGCCCCAGCCCATGGCGTAGTAGAACCTCATGTGGCCGTGGTTGATGTTGCGCAGCTCCGTCAGCATGCGGTAGATGTGCAGACCCTCCACGAACATCCACGCAAAGGTGCACATGTAGAAGTAGTGCAGGAGGATGGCTATGACTGTGCACACGAACTGCAAAGGGAGGAATTTAAAAAAAAAAAAAAAAAGAGCATAGAGTTTAAAATTCCTCCCTCCCGCTTTCCATGACGTTATTTTAGACTGAAAGCAGGAATGCACTTAAAAAGAATAGTTGCGATATCTGTATTTATGGCGGGCGAGATCAGAAAGCCCGAGAAACTAATTTGGCAGCCTGATCAATCATCCTGCATGTGGTCCACCCCCCCCACCCCACCTGTTCAATTACACAGGGACGCTTCATGAATGGTTACAAGCGCTGGATGTCGATGTGAAGTGCCAGAACACCAACAATGACCCATTAGCCCCAACTCTGAAGGTACAAAGAGGTCTTATCTCCACCAGGGTAGACTAAAAGCACGTTTAAATCCCACTGTAATGACTCCCCAAGACATGAAAAGTGTCCAACTCCCCCCCAAAAAAAAGACACATGGGAGAGATTTATCAGGTTAAATTAGAATGCTTGCCTCAGGGTCTACCGCTATGAGGCCTGCTTCTAGACACAGGTACCAGTCGCAGCATGTCTCCACGAAGGGAGGTGCATGTGCTTGTGTGAGTGTGTGTGTGACTGTGTGTGTGTGTGTGTGTGCGTGCGTGCGTGCGTGCAGACTTCAAAGTATTCCAACATCTTATGATCCCACATGAAGAGTGAGTGCAAACTGTAAACGTTCCAAGCTACTACTGGCATTTTATTTGAGAACATGAGTTCTCCGATTGGGGTTTAGCAAAATTATTTACGATGCATTACTGCGCTTGCATGATTTAAAAAGGTGCATACTTCATGGAGGAACCGGTGAGCCAGTAAAAAAAAAAAATAATAATAATAATAATCATGACACATTTCCTCTCACCGGGTTGTCCGTCTGATTGATGCCGAGGAGGAAGACGAGCTCGGAAAAAAAGAGCGCCGCCACCAGGTTCCTGTGGATGACGTGGAGGTTGGAGCGCAGCCGGCGCAGCAGGCACAGCAGGATCAAGGTGAGCAGGAGCAAAAACAGGGAGACGGACACCGTGGCGTAGGTGACGATCTTCAGGGGGAGAACGTCGCCGTGCTGCGAAAAGGAGCGGAGAGAGAGAGAGAGAGAGAAGGTTGCCGCAATGATCCAATCCGTGAACATGTGACCTCGCTACCTCTCTTTTGGAAACGTCCATGAGCACGGCGAAACTGGTCATGTGGTTACACTGACAGCTAATGTGGCTGTTGTTCCTCTCAAGCACCTCGCAGCCTTTGGAGGACCAACCGCCCGTCCCTCCGATCCTAAACACGCATATCGACAACGACGATGATGCAAAAAAAGGAACAATGGCACACGATGAGGTTTCGGTGTCCAACGCACGCAATGGAGTGGTTCCAGAAGACGCAAACGGGCTTGGTCCTCTCCTCCGTCTCCAGCAGTGAGTACTCCAGGGTAATGGGAGGGTCCAAAATCAACGGGAGAGGGGGACCCTCGCTGTGTACAGCGGCGCTGACGATTGCCGTGTTGATCACCGGGCGGTTCGGGACCCTGGGAAGACGACACATCAGGGAAGAAATTGCCTCCTTTTATCCGGAATAAATTTGATCCAAAATAAAAATCCAAATCCAAATCGGGTAAAACCCTGATCCGTGTAAGGTGAAAAGATCTGCCAAATGTGTCTACCTTAGACTTCTGCGATCCGGGTCAAATCTTTCCGGAAGCAGCGTCCCCAGTGACTTGTACACTATCACCACGGCAACCGGGAGATGGACAGCTGGCACGAGGTGGCGACGGCTCCTGTCATACGATGTGTGAACCTCCATCGGGGGGGTCCCGGTCTGGGCTGCGGGCGCCGTAGTGGGGTCCGCTGATTCAGGCAAGCGCATCGGTGAAGAAGCAAAGAAAGCACAAGAGACTGACGCATCGACGCGAGTGTCGATTTCTTACCTCGCTGCCACTGGCGTTGGAGGTTGAAGTGCGGGAAGTGCACAGAGGACTCGAGCTCTTCCGGGTATTCCTCCTCAATGTCGTGGAAGCGGGGGAACGTCGCCTTACGGGGGTCCGTCACGTCCAGGTAGTCCACGGAAAATACTGCAGGAGGCAAAACGGAAGATCATCTCACCACCGACAAGTCTGTGGCGTCATACCGCGCGTCGTATTACTCACTCATGTTGTCCGTCACAATGGTGAAGGGTTTGAGGTAGGTTTTCCTCACGTTCCGCGCAAGAGTGTTTGCGTAGTCCTCAAAATTCCGGAGCAGGTGGGCAGTGCCGCCGTCTGTCTTCTGGATTTGCTCCCAGTGCGCTTTCGTGTCCGGGTCCAGTATGGCACTTCCAGCTCGAACCAAATTCTAGTCGGAGAGTCCATTAACGACACGTATTGTTTTAGTGTCACGGTCCCACAGCCCCGTCAAAAGAAATCGTTCCATTAACGAGAGTGCTGCAAAGTAATCGTCTCTCCTACCTCGTTGAATTCCGCATCCCTCGCCGCAGCGAGTTCGAATCCCGCCTGCCGGCTCTCGTAGCGCAGCACGTGGTTGAGCAGCTGAGCGGCCGTCTTCAAGTCGTTGCCGTAGTAACCCCTGACGTCGCCGGTGGCGCCGCGGAGCGAGCGCACGATGCTACCAGAGCGCTCGCCGTCCATCCTGGAGCCGTTTCGACGGAGGTCTTCGTTCTGGGCGAGGAGAAGTCGTTTTAAAAGATCAGCCGGTGAAGGTGGTCATGAATTCGACATTCGGGGCGCAGTCATCACCAGTTTGGTGAGCTGAGCGAAGGAGGCGGCGGTGCAGTTGAACAGCTCGGGCGACAACCAGCCTTTCTCGTCACTGCAGTGTCGAATGGCGGTACCTAAACACACAAGAATTAATCATCACATAAATTTGGTGCAAAAAAAAAAAAGGCATACAGTATACTACACTACAACCCCCACAAAGAAGAATCTTTTGAGTACGCCATGTTGCATTGCGTGTATTTTGTGAAAGGCGAAGCTGTCGTAGCTGAAAGCGCTTTGTTTTCATGCAAAGTGTCCCCCCCCCACCCCCCTTGTTTTCATTGAAGGCTGAACGTCAGGGTCCCAAGTCAACAAAAAAAAAAAAACTCCCCCATGAGTCTGCAGTGACAACAAAGGTGTTGCCGTGGCGACGGTGCCAAGGCTTCTCACTTCAGTTGTCCCTAAGGCGCTGATTCCCAAACCACAGTTGGCGATCATCATTGCCTTGGACATGACTCACCAATAGATCCTTTGGGACAGTTCATGGCGGCCGGGCGGCCGAACTTGGTTTTGGGCCACCAGATGCCGGCGTCAAACGCTTTGGGGCAGCCTTCATACACCACTGCGGAAGGAATGAAGGGTTTAGTCAGTTCCCTGCTGCGGATGTGACGTGAGCACAAAAATGTCCATGTGACCTACGGATCCAAGACCGATTTCACAGTCCCAGCACGTTCTATTAGGTCAAACCCCGAGCGCCAGCGCCATTCTTCCCCCCGTCTTCTATTCAGCGCTACTGTATTGAGCGTGCGCTCCGCCGCTGCCAAAAGAGCGCAAGCGGCGGGCTCGCCTCTTCTGCTCGACTGGCCGGCGACAAAGGCGCAAAGTGAGCTCAAGAGCAGCAGATGTGAGTGACACCGTTTGTCTTTTTGTTTTGACACCGCCGATTCAAAACGGGCTGAAGCCTCGACAACACTTTCCTGATGACCATCCATGTCCGCCACCGGAATATTTCCAGGGACGTACCTTCGCATCCGTTGGGCGTGACCTCAGCAAAGGGGTTATCGCAGCGGTTGCACTGGCGGCCGATGATGCCGCCCTTGCAGGGGCACTGGCCGGTGAGCGGGTGGCAGGTTCGGCGCTCAGAGCCGACAGAGAAGCAGTCACACGGATAGCAGGTGTTTTCTCCTTCCGGCTGGTAGTGGTTCTCCTGCAGGAATCGGTAGAGAATGTTGACGACTTAAAAATAAGTTGAGGTGCTACTAAGTGGGGGGGGTCAATGAATCGGGATCAGACCTTGCAGCGACACTCTCCCGTCGTCTTGTTGCAGTCGCTATGAAATCCCCTGCTGGTGTCGCAGCCGCAGGGGCCGCACACGGGACTGCCCCACCAGCCCTGAGGACACGGCTTCTCCACCCTGGTTTAACACAGGCAAAGTGTCAAATCTTTCTGCGCTCGCACCATCAGATAACGTTGACTTATCTTGCGTGCGGCTACTAAATTACCATTTTGCAGAGAATCGGATTGCTCCTTATCTGTTTGGGAGTTTATCTACAATAAACTTCCTCCAGACCTTTCTTGCCAAGTGTGACTCAAGCATTTCAATCCACAAGCATTCTCTGCTAAGACGCGATGCGATCTACGGTTCTGCACCGGTGACATGTGGCGGTAAACAGGCATGCGGAGACTAAACACCTATGGAGGACCGGTCAAGCGCGACAGCGGGGAATTCAACATCCTGCCTTCGATAGGAAGGGATGCATGAAACCTTTCTATTAGCCGTGTCTAATTTTCAGCCGTTCTTATGTATCGTTGCTCATCATAATAAGACAAAAGTTGGGAATCCATTTTAAGGCCTCGCCAATCAAATCGTTTCAAGGAGGGACTTACTTATTTTCGCAATACTGTCCGTAGTAGTTTTGTCCGCATTCACAGGTATAGCCGTGAGAGGAACTGGGCTTGCGAGCACAGGTGGAAACATGCTCGCACGGGTTGAGCTGACAGGCGTCCACGCAGTCTTTTCCAAAATAGCCTGCAAGACAAAGTGCCAGTGAGATGGAGCGTTTGGGATGTTTGCTTGGGGCGTCGGCGGTTGGTCCTCTACCTGGGTCGCACACGCACGTGTGCGTGCTCCAATCGTCGTTGCAGTGGCTGTTCTCGGGGCAGATGTTGGCGTCGCACGGGTCGGCCAGGTCGCAGCCCTCCTCCACGCGGATCTTCAGGCCGCGAGACATGATCACGTTGGCCACGTTGGTGGACGTCTCGCCCATGCGGACTCCCTAATAGAGAAAATGGGGATGTCAACGTGACTTCTGTACTTGTTAAAACTGGTAATGGAAATGTGGTCATTTTAATTCCATTTCGCCCACTGCGCTGACCTGAATGCAGCCAACAAATCCTTTCCTGACGTGGTTGCCCTCCCCCGGCAAACCGCCGACATGAAGAGTTTGGAGCTTCAAACCCGGCAGGTCGTTGCCAATCACCACTGACTTCTGCTTCGGGAAAAAAACAACAATCAAAAGACACACGCCGAAAACAGAATCGCCTCCGATCCAAAACGATACCTTGTACATCCCGTGGTCCAAGGAAACGGCGGCCACGTATCTGAGTGCCTTGCCGTCCTTCACGCTTCTCAGCTCCACCAGCAGGTGGTGCCACTCCCCGTCGTTGACCCGAACTTGCGGAAAGCTCAGGGACGCCACCATCTGTTCCGTTTGCAGTACTTCCATTCTCACCTGTTGCTCACTCACCTGCGCAAATAGTCAGCATTAAAAAATATATAAAAAGAAAGAAACGCGGAACGACAGGCTCGGCGGGGTCACTCACCATGAGGCTGATGGTGGAGGAGGGGCCGGCGTTGGCTTGCATCAAAGTGCCGGCCGGTTGCCGCGTCCGGAACATGAGGCCCATGTACCAGGGGATGGCGATAGTGACGTCCGGCTCGCTCCACGACACCAGCGCCTTACCGTCAAAGAACTGAGGCGACGGCATCACTGTTGGCAATATCGGAAAAATAAAGCTCACACGCGCACTAATTACAGCACAAACAGCGCTTTTGTTCCTTAGGGGGGGGGGCACGTGTTACGGGGGCTTTAGTGTGTAAGTCGGCATAATGTGCAAGCACAGCGTGTCGGGAAACGAGCGGTGCCGTTGTAGCCTTCATGACAATAATAGTATGACAATTCACAACATCATGCGCAGGTGGAAAATGGACACAATTCGTGTTTGTTGTCGATGAATCCAGTAATTGTGGCACCATGGATGAAATCTGTACGAGAAGGCTAAAAAAAAAAATGTTTTATGCGCAGTCATCCGTTTCTAGGCTCATTTGTTGTGACTGCGGGATGAGTCACACTTGAGTCAAAGGAGGCTCCCAAAGCTACGCACACAAACACACAAACTACTTCCTGGCAGGGCTACAGACACACGCACACCGACTGTATATAAACACACTTGCGGGCACGCAGAAGCAAGCAGAAGCATGCGCATTTGCATTTGGAGACACACCTATCAAGCCAAAATGCTGACGCGCAAAAAAACATATTTCCGCTGATATCAATGAAATGACAAGACGGATATTTATGGAGATAAAGAAGGTGTCACATGACTTTACTCGTAGCTTAATGCGGTATAGTGATTGGCACTGTATTTTTCCTTACCTTGTTCGCAGTTCCTGCCGCCATATCCAGTGGGGCAGTCGCAGCTGTACGTGTTCCACTTGCTGACACACACTCCCCCGTTCATACACACGCTGGGTGTACAGAAGTTTCTCTTCGCCGGGCACCCTAAAATGTTGTTCAGGTTAGATAGCATTCATGGGAATGCTCTTTCGAGTTCAATTTTACCGACCTGCCGTTGTGCCGTTGTTGGCGATGTAGCTAGCCATGTCGACGGCCCTGCTGTCGATGCTCAGGTTCCTCATGCAGCCCACAAAGTCTCGATTTCGAACCGGGAAGTCCTCGGGCAAGTTGGGGACGCCACCGAGCAAGAGCGGTCCCGTCAAGTCCAGCGATCTGAAGGAGATGTCCAAAAAAAAAAAAAGGAAATACTACCGTGAGAAACCGCCTTTGCATTTTCTTCCCAAGAAAAAAAGGCAAGTGAGGTAATGGCGCTAAGCCTGTCACAAGGCTAAGCTGCTAGCATCAGAGCGAGTCCGATCAGGCATTGGGGGTCAGGTAAGGAGGGAAGGCTGCTTATAAAACATCAAACGGCGACCGCTTTTGAGAGACTTAATGTGACACAATAACGCACAAAGAAAGCCTTAACCTCTGAATGCTGAGATGTTTGCATAAACAGTGCATTCTCGGGTCAAGACTGACTCGGGCAGGACGGATGGCGCATTAGGAAGTTAAGAAGTATTTACTTAATTTTATTTTTCACTTTAAACGTGACTATTCTTGAAGACGAGACTCGGTCAAGCTGCAAAATGTAGCATTTTTGTGAGCAATTTAACACTGTTAGCATAGCTACAGGAACGAGTTTGATTGTATCAATGCTTGAGCTAATGCTAGCTAGCTTTTTTCCTTCTATTATGTGTCCGAATGTTTTTTTTTCCCCCTCAAATGAGCCATTTTCTTAAAATGTGTCCTCTAATTGAGTCTGCATTTGAATAACATTTATTGGAGTAAAGGAGTTATTGTGTTCTGCATCGCTTTTTACTTTTTCTGTCCGGTCTGTGTTCCCTGGGCGGCGCACGAGTAGTTCCCAATCTGCTTCCCGAAGCGGATCGCCATGGAGATGTCGCAGTCGTCCACGGCAACCACTGCCACTTTCTCCCCGGAGGGTCCGTGGGGGATCCCCAGGCGCCCGATGTTTGGCTGGAGTAAACATGAGATGGTTTTTTTTTTTTTTTTTTTAAACCAAAATTAAGAGGAATGTGTCACGCTGAATGAGTCCCATTTGTTGCCAGTTCAACCGAGGATTTCGTTAAGATTCTTAATGCTTCATTTCAGCCTTTGTTTTGTTTTGTTTTTTTTCCAAGGTGGAAGAACTTGGCACAACACAAACACGACTCTGAGCTGACTTCGCCCGTTTCACAATCTGAAGTACGCTGGCTTCTCTCTGGCTTACGACGGGTCAAAGAAAGGCCCATTGTTGCCCTTCGGCTCGCTCACACCTACCAGTTACAAACTAGGCTAATACCTCCAACCATGACTCAGCTAATATGGATCAGATTAGAAAATCAGGCTAGAAATGCCTTTATATTCATTTATTTGTTCATTTTTTAATAATATCAAACAGCAGTTTAACGCCACAATGTTTCCACGAATTAACGTGCGTCAACAGGATTGGACAATGTGCAAGAATACACTGCCGCAGTTCGGAGGTGGCGCTACAAAGACAAAAAAAAAAGTGAGTGGTGTTTGTCTTCGATTTAAATGGGATCAGAGTAATGAGATACAGGCGGGGCTGTAAACAAAGGAAGAGGGGGAAAAAAAGAGGGACACATCTCGAATAGACACGTATAAATGGGCAGGACCAGAATGGAGAGCCTGAAAGACACAAGCTACCAACTCCCCATTTCGTGCCACCAGGAGCCAACAAATGAGTCAGAAATAAGACAAATGAGAGAGAACGTGTGGTGGAGTCAAGGGAGGAGAAAAAAAAAAAAGGCAGAGCTGCCTGACCACCGGCAGAGGAGCATGTCATGACAGCGATTAGGATCTCAGCATCCCTTGTGAGCTCAGTCAAGCAAGAAGCAGATGAGATGAAGATGAGAAGCAAAAGAGGAAGGCGGGAGGGAGGGAAGGAAAAACACGGAGTGAGGGGGAGGGCGCTACAGAACCAAGACCAGCAGTGGGCAAACTGAAAGATGGGTCACATGGTTTTTGGGGGAAAAAAAAAATAAATCAAGACCAGCAGTGGGCAAACTGAAAGATGGGCCACATGGTTTTGGAAAAAAAAAGTGAAAAATACACAAAAAAATTCCACAGTATTGCAATTGTGATTTAATATATAAATGTATAATGTTGCACATGTATTTTTTTAGGTGGGACTTGAGAAGCACCGCTCTATACAGTTTTCAGGCTTCTTTTTGACCCCCCTCTGTAAGAATGCCCACACTGTCAAGCACGGCCCCCACCTGCTCCCCCCGTGAGACTCTGCTACAGCCCCCCCCAGCCAAACAGACAGTTGAAGATTCCCTCTCTCTTAGGTGTCATCTCCAGGGGCGATAGGCTTGCCGCAGCTATGGCGACGCACTTGATCCCCGCAGCTACCCACAAAAGACCAGCGGGGGCGGGGAGAAGGAGTTGGGGGGTGGGACGCTACAGGCCGAAATGACATCACAGCACACTGCGGCCAAACCTCAGCGACAAGCCCACACACACCATTTGACACCTCTATCATCATTAGCTTCCTGTCAACATGATGACTTTGCCAAGACGCCCGAGGCCAGGGTTTAAAAAAAAAAAAAAGGCAGATGGATTGAGTTTCATGCAAAACATTTCCACACGGCCTTGTCAAAGAACCATCAAAATTAGGGACTAACAAGCTGGGAAAATGTGTGAAGACGGATGGAGGGACGACTTGGTCTGGAGAAGGATGTGTGGATGTTTGTAGAGCGAGCGGGTGTGTTTGCGCGCGAGGAAGGAAGCAAGCGGGCCGCGCAGCAGACGACCACCCGCTCCAGTCCGATAATAAAGGAAGACGGGCGCACAGACTTTTATTTGATTTGGGCCGGCCGAAGGAAATGCCATTGTTTGGTGGACTCTTGGAGCACCACACACACACACACACACGCACACACACACACACACACGCACACACACACACACACACGCACACACACACACACACACGCACACACACACACACACACGCACACACACACACACACACAGGTCGCACTGTGGAGTAAATTTTTTTTTTTTTGGCAACTTCACACACAGGTTAGCGTGTCAGAGCTTCAGCAACGGATTCGTGTCCATATTACCTCACCTGGCCCGTGGCTGTGTAAACCTAGACGTGTGAATTATTCACACGCACAAAGGGCTAAAATGTCCGACGTTCAAGACTATACGTTACCGCCGTACCCATCAGTCGCTCGCGCTTCTCTCCGTCCGCGTAACAGATGGACGGCGGCCATTGTCTTCTGGAAGCTCTCAAAGCAGCAAAAAAAATAAATAAATGTTCGGATGGGGCAAAAGCATGAAGTAAAGGTAACCGTATCCTCGATGGAACGCTTGAATAAAAGTCATCCAGTGACACGGGCATAGTTTGAGTTGTACCCTCATCAAGCCTTTTGACAGGCAGACTCATGAAGCAAAATAAAACCAATGCCCACGCACACAAGACTAACTTACCTGAGCTAACATGAGCTAGCAAGCTAATATTTCATTTCCGAGAAGGCGCCGTAAAAAGTGACAAAAACGTACTATTCAAGAAATGGTAACCACCCAATCTTTGTTTACGTTTGACCGCCCTAAAAGTGTGAGCGATAAGAATATAGCCGGAATGGTAATCAAATGGATAAAGCGTCACAACAAGGTGAAACTTTGCCATGACAGAGAAGTAGCACAACAGGAAAAGTCCACAAACAACTCCCAAACCAGAAAGTCGACGAAACGACGGCAACTACAACATCCTCTACGACAAGCGAGTCACCAAGGAGTGGGGGGGAAGGCACCAGCGGGGGTTGCGGGGAGGCAAGGCAAGAGGTCAATGGTTACCTCCTTCTGCGTAAGCTCCAGCCAGGCAGTATAGAGCGGGAGCCGCAGAAGCCCGCTGGAGTCCAGCAGACTCCCCCCGTCCTGGGCCAAGAGAGAGACACCGCATTAGATAGACCTGCGTGTTTATCTCTGAGGACTCGCCTTCAAAAATAAAAATAAAAAATACCTAACCTCACTTAAAAGCCCTTGAACACAACTTCATTCCTGCATGATGTCATCATCTCTCCTCCTAACATACACAGATCTTCTATTTATAGTTTTTATGCAACTTTTAAAGTGGGAGACTGTCACTATGATGCGGTCCAAAAAAACACCAAATAAGGAATATTCTTGTCCTAGTGGTTAGCGTTGCTACCAAGGAAACCGCAACTCTTCCATGCGACGACACGGCACCATTTGGTGTTGCCCAACGGGAACAAGGAGGAGGCGAGGGAGGGAGGTAACTCAGAAGGAAGAAGAAAGATATAGAATGCAGAAAAGGAAGGCCAGAAGGAGACCTTCAGCCCGTTTTACAAACTCGATGGCAATATCCTGTTTCATCAATCCAAGGGTCGTCAATACAGCACGCGTACATGCGGCCCCCTTTTGTCTGCCCACTGTGACATTTTTTAGCTTAATGAGGACGAGAAAGCGACAATAACTGTTTCCAGCAGGCCACGGCCACTTCCAATAAAGCGCATGCCAATGGCGGACGGCTATAGCTTAAGTATTTTGCGCTCGGCTGTGAAGTCAGTTCGCATGTACAGTATGCGAAGGGTGATTCCACGCCTGCCCGAAGCCACACGCGGACGGCAGAAGCACAAACTTCAGGCCCACTTTGCTGATAAGACTCGGCTCAGCCTGTCTGGGAATGTGGTCGACGCAGTGTCGCCGTAGCGTATACGTATGGAACGGCGAAAACAGCCTCGAGCTGCCTCTTCGCAAACGGTGTGGTATGCTTTGGATACGATGGCTTTCCAACTGCCTCGGATGGCCACAACCATGGCAAAATCCTCGTCGGTTTCCCCGGCAACCCCTCTTCCCCTACACCTTTGACCTATTGTTTTGGAGCCGAGGCACCCCCCGGGTCTTTTGAAGAGCGGTCCCAGTAAAAAAAATGTTTAATGGGAGGAGGGAGGGGCATGTGGTGTCTGTGGACCCCCCTTGTGCAATCTTTAACCGTCTCATCATCTGACCCACTAAACCACCTTGTGTGCGTGCGTGCATTGTGTGTCCTTATAGGAGTTGTTAACACATGAGTGGGCTCGTGTGAGCCTCTATTCATTCCTAGTGGGTGCTTTTGAGATTTCCATAATCACGATCGCGTGTGAGCGGCAATTAGTTTTGACATACAGTGTGTCCAATCGCACATTCAGCCATATGCACTGCTTTCTTCATGTTGGTCTTAAAATGCAGATTTTAATGCAACTTATGAGCGACTTCTTATTTGCTCGATTTTTTTTTTTTAATTAAATGGTCTTGTTTGCATTTTAAAGATGCATAAATCTCAATTGATGTCCTTTTAGAAGCCTTAAAAGCGCCCAGCAGGGAAAACATCTGATCAAAGTCGGCGTTATCTGCGTGGGGGTAAGCCTGGCTGACATGCATCTGGGTTACATCATCTTTCAAAGTCTCCTTTAGGGCTGGGCAAGAACACATTTCAAAAAAAAATGTCTATTGTGTGCTGCATACGTTTACACAAACCCCTCCAGGAAATGATGCGAGGGTTTCATTTTCAGATTGCCTCTCATCATTCAACGTGCGAAGAAAAAAGATCCATGTGTCAATGATTGTCGGCCTCTGGCTAACATGACGGTATGTGTCGGCCGCTTTGTAAATCTCTGCGTGACATTGTTCCGGATCCACCCGAGTGGTGCATGTGATTATATACTTTTGATGAAAACAAAAGTGAGGACAAAAAACGCCAAATTAAAGGAAAGCCACGCAGAACGGAGGCGGAAAGTCTGGTGTTGCCAAAACTGTAAACACGATACGGAGATTATTTAGGGCATCCCTGTCATTCCAGAATTGCTGACAACGAGCGCTGAAGTGACCCTGGAGCCAACATGGACCGCCGTGTTCGCCAGCCATTCGTCACGTGTGATGAATGGCGGCCTGTCGAGCAGGGAACGTTGCCCCGTGCGCAACGGGTGTTCATGCTTGAGACAAAGCACCCATGAAATGCGAAACCACGGTTACAGAAATAGGTTGATTAACCTACAATTTCAGATTTGCCTGTAAAATAAAGTGAAACCACGCCATGACTTAACTCTCAAGTGCCCATCAAATGTCACTCCTATGACCTGGAAAAACAGATGCCACTTTGTCGAACATCTTTTTTATGTCCACACATAACACGTTTGAACCGCCAAAATACATTCACATAAAGCTTAAGATGGCTGGAATACAGTATATTCCATGCAGCAACAACGAGGCACTCTAGAGAACCATGTCAGGGCAAAATGCTTGTGCAGGTGCTGTCTTTCACACACAGAAAAAAAAAAACATAAAAATATATGAATATACTGTATGTGATTTTGTTCTTCTACCGTCATTCACTATTTTGCATGCACTCATGGCCAACAACAAAGCTCTCTAAAGCAGCCATGTCAAGACACACAAAGTCTGACATTTTCCCTGTCAATTATTTTCAAAAATGTATCTACAGTAGGAATAAGAAAATTCGAATGACATTTGAAAGATTTTTTTTTCCTGCAGTTAAAGATGGAAATCAATGGCTGCAAACCAATATAGAGTTAATGTCAGTAATGTATCATTTCTTACAAATGCCTGGATGTAAACCTCACAATTTGCATGAGCTCCTCTAAGATTGTGCTGTTATGGCTCTGAGACTGGAAGAGTCACAGAAAGGAGTGAAGAATATGCATGGGGAAAAAAAAAAACAACACCTAACATGCATTTTAGCTTGCTCCCGCCTATTTTTTTTTTTGTGTGTGTCATGTATGCTGAACTTTAAGTTACCTCTCACTGTCAGAGGTTAGAACGGTTATCTCATTCTCAGCCTGTTTTAAAACATATGAGAACAATAGCTGCGGGCCCTGGAAGTTTGATGGGAAAATAATACTTGACGTGACTTGAAGGAGACGCTCCTCCGATATACTATTACCCCTTAAAGTGGAGACATGAGACACGTTTGGATATAATTACTCGTATTGGTGCTAGATTTAAAAAAAAAAAAAGCAGGAGAACCACCGTGTGAACAACATTGAAATCACATCCGAGGCACTCGAAGAAAAATGATGCATCGGCAGCTCCTGACCTTGTTGTAGTAATGGAGCTGCACGGAATGCCACTGGCCATCGCTGACGCCGCCCGAGATGAAGGGGGACACGGTGGTCTTCGTCTCACCTGGAGGGGAGAACACATCCAAGGTGAAGCACACAAATGAATGCTTTCCCGTTTTAAATAGCGGCGCAAACCGGTCGCATGCTAACTTGATGCAAACCTGCCCGGCGCGGCCGCGCCGCGATCATAAATCACGAGCTGGGAAAGGCGGTACTCGCCTGCGCTCTCGGGGTGTCTACTTGAGAACAGCGCAGGGCACAAAGACTCCGGCTTTACTGATAAATGACTTTGTTTGTCGAAGGCGGGAGCAGCCGCGGGCGACAATCCACAACACTGACACGAGTGTTATTTGGTGTATGCGTGTTGTTTTCCAAAGCGAGAGCACAGATCTCTGCCTTTGTCAGCGGCTAAACAAAGGTGGCAAGGTATAATCCCGAGCCAAATTAATATGCTTTTTTTTTTTTTGTAAAAATTTAAAAAAAAATAATAATAAAGCGGAAGGCTATCACGCAACCCAGATACGGTATTCATCAAGTGCGAAGTTGACACGTGAATAGATTTTCCTCTTCCGCCTCTCATTAGCTCATAATCCACATTTAATGTGATAATTAGTGAACTCAACTTTACAGTCATACTTTGGATTTGGCAGTACTCCCAAAACAGGATTCAACTAATCGTATTGAACTGGATCCCGGACCCCCTGCCCCCTGACCGCCCCCGCACACCCTCACGACCCTCGTGCAGAACCTTGGGAAAGTGGAGCGCGTTGGAAAACAACCCTGTTCTGCTTTTGATCCGTGGATCAGCGGTTATCAGCGTTCACAATGTAAGAATGCGCCCAAGTGTGTGCTTGGATGTTGTTTTTTTTTATTTTATTTTATTTTTTTACGTGGAGTTGGGCACTTAAAGATAACGCGACGAGGAAACTGTAAATTGTGTCTGCACGCCCAAGTGCAAACATGAGGATAAATAAATGTTAGGTTTGGAGGTGCAGTCAGGAAGTGGAGGAAATTGGCCGAACCTCCAGAGAAGGTGAGTTGAATCTGCTCGTCGACGATTTCCAAAGCGATGAAGTCGTGTTTTTCGTTGAATCGGCCGTTGTAGAGCAGCAGGGCATTTCGTTCCCTTGTCGCAAACCTGTTAAAAGAAGCAGAAAATAGACCACTTTTGCCATCATTTTTTCCCCCTCATTTCAGCTAAGTTTAACTGTCTTGGAGAATGGACGCTAATACTTTTTGTCAGAGAAGTGCATCCTCAACATGAAGTAGCTCTTCAAGAAAAGTGATTAAGAGAAAGCAGGAAATGTGCAGCGGACGGGCTTTGGACAGGAAAGCATGCCCACACCCCCCCACACCCCCCACCCCCACCCGCCTTCATTAGATGATGTGTGCCCGCGCGATAGCAAAGCGCCAAACCTGCCCGCGAGTGAGCAGAGTTCACGTGCAAGCCGTTTGGGAACGCAAGGTGAGGGCAGAGGAGTCAGCCGGCAGATGCCAGCGAGCCAGGAAGTCGGCAGGGCTGTAGCCAGACGCTGATAAGGGAAACCCATCACAAAGACTTTCCTGTTTTGAGGGCAGCGCAAACTTTTTTTTTTCTCTCTCTCTCTCTCTCTCACCGTCATACGACTAATCGACTCCCATCATTATTGCTCTAACTTTCCTACCTTTGTACAGGAAGCAAAACAAGCAAGAATGTTCTATTATAATATCAACAGAGCATGACAAACAGCTTGTCTCTAATCCGGCACCTTTTTTGGACAGGTTCCATCATTTGGGTGCGGCTTCAAATCAAGTAAAATAAACAAACAAGAGTAAAAAAAAAAAACTCACATGAGCGAGACGGTAAAGTGGAACCTTTGCCGCAGACCCCTGAAGGTGACGAAGGACTGTCCGGGGAAGCTGCGTGTGGTCATCTCGCAGTAAGGCTTCTCGTACTCGCCGGGCATACAATGGCACACGAAACCGCCGGCGAGCCGGTTCACGCATTCGCCGCCGTTCTTGCACACGCCTGGGACACAGCTACCCGACGAGGCGTTCACCTCGCAGTGTTCGCCTAAGGAAAGAGCAGCGGGAATTAGTCAGAGGCCATTTTGCAAAGGTATAGAATATGGAATCTGAAGCTTCGGGTCAACAGAGGGCCCCAAACTCCCATGAATATTCTCCCAAAGTTTGGGTTTTAATCAGAGAAATTCTTGACTGTTTTCTGAATGATTTGATGCACTGTCCGGACGTGACCAAGCCTCGCCGCACCAGCCTGGAACCAGGTAATGGCCCTTCTCTCTGCGGCATCATCCCATTTTCCACGGGCTGAATTATACGGATCTATTTCCCTGTCATGCGGAAACCCAAGAAGAAAACTGTCATCGGCCCAATTTACGGGACAGTGATGGGTCCGAGTGTTGAACTGCGACCTCCAAAAGGGAACCGCCACTCGATTTTTGGTACGCCAATCACGCTTAAGGGAAGAGGGGGCGGAGCGAGAGCGAGTCGGTGAGTGACCGAGACGGGTGTAATGGGGTAATTAGATCAGATAAGATTGAGGAGGAGAAGAGAGGACAGCCGATGAAGGCCGTCTCACTCGGACCTCGTCGAGAGAGAGACACAGGAGAAGAGACAGTCGGGTATCAGGTGAACACGGGGGAAGTACGGGGAAACATTCCAGAAAAAAAAAAAAAAGCGTCTCACCGGTGAAGTCTTCCAGGCACTCGCAGGTGTAGCCGCCCTCTCGGCTGCGACAGCGACCGTTGTTCTCGCACGGCCCCGAGTAGCAAAGGTCGATCTCCGTCTCGCAGTAGTCGCCGGCGAAGCCGACGGGGCAGCGACAGCGCAGCCCGTTGATGGGGTGGATGGGGCGGAACAGAACCGTGTCGGACGCGATGAACGGGGGCGAGCTGTCGAACTTGAGCACGGACACGCACTTCATGTAGTTCTCGCAGGGCTCGCGAAGGCAAATGTTGTCGTCGAACGGCAAAACCTACAGAGAACGGATTTGGAAATTAAGACTGCAGTTCGGTCAACGCCACGTTGCGTTCATGTCCAAACATCCGTAGGTGCCTTACCTCCTGAGACGAAATGAGCCTGAGCAGAGTCCTGTTCAGGTAGATCTGCTCCTGCAGTTCCTCCGAAGGAAAGAAGGTCCCCGCGCCGGGCCCTCCCCCGGGCTGCATGGCCGAGAAGGTGACGTTGAGGATGGAGCCCTGCACGTCGGTGTCGTTCTGGATGTTGAAGACGAAGACGGCCTCGCGCCTGGTGGAGAGCACCGCCGCCACGCCGTCCACGAAGAGGCCGAGCAAGGGCGACAGGAAGCGCTCCTGCGACATGTTCTCCAGGCGCACCGTGATGCTGTTGGTGAGCATGTCGTCGGTGATGATGGTGACGCGGAGTGTGCAGAGGGCCGAGGTGGTGTGGACGCCATCTGGGGGAGGGGAAAAAAATAAATAAATTGAAAAAATCAGACTGGCTGCTGAGAAAACAAACTCCACTATTTCCAAATCGACGTGTCTGAAGTGAGATACACGGTTGCAGGGTGACAAACCGAAACCGGCACAAATCTACACCTGTGTCGTTCATTCCCTTTCCAGCTATCGCGTTACACACAGCATTTGTGTTGCCCTTCTGCGGGTTTTCGAGACGGAACAATACTTTCCAAATCGGCTTTCTTTACGTGCTGCGTAATAGCTACGTACCGTCATTTCATCCCTTGCACACCAATTACCGACTGGAATGTCTGCGTTGCCTGTTGAGGGTTACCAAAAGGCTACAGGCTGCACTTGGCCTTGAGTGACATAAAACGGACAACAGGTGGTTGGGGGGAGGGCAAAGAATGGATCAAACTGGCAATAAAGGGACGATGAGGTTATGTCCACACGTGTGACAATGTTTTTTTATAAGCAGTTGCCCACTCTGGATTAAACCTCTTGTTGATGAGAAGAAAAAAAAATAAATTCTGTCAACACGGAAACCTATTTGGAAGCTGTCGAGTGCATGCCGGAGCAACAGGTGGCGCTACAATCGGGGCTTGGGGGGCGCGGAGGGGTGGTGAGGTTCGAGCACAGGCGCCTTGTCACTCTTGGACAGGTCAAGAATTCAAATATGTCTGAGGGGATTGGGGGGGGGGCCTGAAACAGTAATTTAAGTTGAGAAATTTAATGAATTGAAAAAAACAATAACAGTGCAAAAAAAATGTCTTCTGGCTTGTTTTCATTTTTGAAAATCAAATTTAGAACCCCCTCGACTATGCAGCCTGAATTAAAAATAATTAACGTGAGGTGTTGAGTAGATGGTTCTTCTCTCATTCTGGGGAGGGGGGGGGGGCACCTGCGCTATCTATAGAGCTCACCAGCTGCATAACACATACATGCAGAGAGGATGGGCTGAGCTGTGGAATTGACGAATGTGTGGGATGCTACGGGAAAAAAAAAAAAAAAAGAGTGATGGACTGTTCATGACCACACACAGGCAGTCCTTAAGGATGAAATGTGAAAAGTGAAATACAACTGAACCGCGCCAAATTATGTCACGTGGAGGCCAAATCCCTTCGCCCGTCTATGGCGTTTTGAATACAGACACAACACTGGTGGTCACGCTGCTGGGTAACGAGTGTTTGTTCAGTTAGCGAGCAGGATGGCCTGTGACGCCACAAGAAAAAAAACAAAAAAAAAAAACAGGTGTCCATACGGCAGGTTGAGGGCAGGCCACCAATGAGACACACTTGCTTGTTGTCACGTATTCGCGCTTACTCGCTTAGCACACACTTACACATACAGTATGTGATGACTGTTGACATTTATCACCTCAAAAGACAATAGTAAGTGAGAGCCAAAAACAGGAAGCTTTAAAGTCAATGCATGAAAAATGTCCGCCATCTTTTCCAGCACAGTGAAATGTTTTCCAGCAACTAAGCAACAAGAACTTCCTGTTTCAGGTGTTTTAAACGCCTCGAAGCCTTTCTCCCATCACCTCCATTCTGCTGACAGGGAGGAGGGAGGAGGGGGGGAATCCCCTCTCATCTCGCAAGGTGAACGCTCCAGACGTGAGAACGACAAATCAAAATGGTCATAAAGAGCAAGTGGGAGGCAGCTTGTGTCTTGTGCGTATTTCAGTGGAAGAATTATGACTGCATGTGTGACCATATATCAGCGTGCTTACACACACACAGCTGTTATAGTCCAATTTCCACTTCAACACCTGCAAGTCTTCGGGGGGCATTTTCAAACATTGCTTTTGTCGGCAACGTGACGTGTTTGGTTGGGGTGCGCCGCATAGAAGACACTCAATTGAGGCTCAACGACCCACTTCAGCGGCATGAAGTGCAACAACCTTTTCAGGAAAAAACTGCGACATAACTCTGACCCCCACTCAATTAATGCCCAATCATACTGAAGTATGGAGGACTGGAGCGATTTATGCCCCATCCAGCCAAACCCTTAACCTTTCACTCGACGCGTGCTCGAATCGGGCGACACCGACTCCAAGTCCGAGACAAGCGCTCTCGATTAGCCGCACTGGGGAGCAACGAGGCCCAGATCCGACCTGGCTAGAATGTCGACGTGAGCAGAAAGGCGGCCCTGTTCCGACGGAGCAGTTTGAGTAGAATAATCCGTCAAGGTATCATTCAACCGGCTGCGCTGCACAAGATCTAGTCTCTCTCTGTTTTACGACATCCACTTAGCGGATCGACTTAGTCGTCTTTCTTCAGTCCCTCTTCAGTCCTGTGCTGACTAATCACATTGACACCCCCCCGAGCTTCCTCTTATGAAAGGTTCAAAGGCTGTGGCTTTCGGGTATCGTCTCGCTCTGTTCTCACCTCTTGATGTGTGACAGCAAAAAAAAAAAAAAAAAAAAAACGACCCTACAGGCAGAGATTTACAGGTGTGTGTTTTGAAAAGTAGACTGATCGTCGTAATATTTTTTGAGAGCTTTGTCAAAATCTAGTAATATCGTTTTTTTTTTTAACATTTTCCTTCATTTATTGTAATTTAGAGCACAATTTTTGTGTGAAGAAAAAAAAAACATCCTCTAACTACAATTCCTAGTGCTACAAAAAAAAAAAAAAATGCAAAACACAAAAACGTTGATTCCAATTTCAAAATGATCAAAAAGTTCCCTCCCAGGTTGAACTGCGGCCCTCTTTTAAAAGCCGCCCAGCTATGAAAGGACTAATCGGAGTCTAGGATCCATTTCACTGACACCAGATCTCGTCTCCCGCTCCTTGCGAGAGTTTTTTTTTTTTGTTGTAAAATACAACTGGTTCAAAAGTAAAACTTGTCCCCCATAATAATTTCTTTGTCTTTGTGTTTTCGACCCTCCACCCTTCATTCCAGCTCTCTGTCCCTTCCTCTCGTTCTCTCCAAGGAGGTGTCTGGTTACAGTTATTGTTGGTGCTGGTTACTGATAAATAGGGTGCCTGGTTACCAACCGGCACGCCATTGGCTATGTTCAACAAAGCGCTTGGAAAGGAGGCGGAATAGAGTCGGGATGAAAGGGGGGTGTGGGTGTGGGGGGTCGTCGCCATGGGAAACCGTGAGACTTGCGTCTAAATGTGGTTAAATAGAAAGTCGAGCAACTCCTCAACTTGTTTTGGTTGACACTGACCCTTCCGACAACCCCCCCACAGACACCTGCTGAATTCGCCGCCGTCCTCCTCTACACCCAATCCCATTTCAACCGATGGCAGCTGCCAAGTGTCGATACAAATACTTGGCCGGGGGGGGGGAATTTTCACGCGATTCTTTCCGGTTGTCGGGAGAAACGTGAAGGCTCGCAATTATAAGATGCGGATCACTGCACGTCGAATGTCATAAAATGTCTTTCGTGAATAGAGCTTCTCTTTGTAGCGATTCATTGCGGTGAACAAGACGAGACCGGCCCATGTTGGCTCGTAAAAACCTCCATGTCGCTGTTGTAATGTGCGAAGCGCTTCACAATGCACGAGACAATGACTCACCAGTCAGGGCAACTGGATGCCAATCGCACTCCACGCACGGAGCGTCGAATGTTGGTCGCCACGAGATACGGATAAGCGTTGCTCGTTTCGTCATCAAACGAACTCGACAAAATGTGTCTGTGACGTAAAATAGAAAAAAAATAAAAAATAAAAAAAAGGGCATTTAAACGAAACTATTTTTAAAGTGAGCTCAAAATAACGTCAGCTGTTCGGCTGAGAGCGAGCCAGCTGGTAAATCGCGCAAACATGAGCCCAAACAATGAGCCCGACAGTCATCCATTCGCTCATTAAGTAAGTTAGCCGGGCAGCCGGTCAAGTGGAAAAAAAAAATCATGATTTAATCGTGAGTCTGTGCTTATGAGCCAAGAGTTTTGACGCAAACACAGATGTCACAGCGGGAACCGAACTCACGGCTAATCCGCCACGACGAAAAGTCATACCCCCAATGCATTGTGCGTTTGTGATTGGGGGGGCGGGGGGTGATGAAAAGGTAAAATGGTGAAGAGAGAACTGCGACACGCTTGAGTGGAGGGGAATAATTCCCTCTCACTGGGAGATTCTTTGAAGTTGGGGGGTTGGAAAAAAATGAGGGAATGTCAGGGTAAAAACAGAAGCCCCCCCCCCTTTCTTTCCTCCTTGCCTTAAATCACCGTGCTCCCTTTCTCTTTTTCACATTCTTTATCAGGGATGCGGTGGCCATCTCGTCACCTCGGCGTCTTTCACCCGTCGGGGTCACCCAAAGTGTCGGCATTGTGCTCAAGTGACACTGCTGGCGAGAACGCGGCGTGATCATGAGTCAGGAAAGATGCGGCAGGGTCAGCCGCTGTCTGTCGAACTGCCTGAACAGAGGCGATAAGTGGAAGGGGTAATCGCTTATTTAAATTAAAAAAAAAAAACAATTGTGAAAATATTTCCATTGTGAAAATATTTCCATTCACGACCCAAAATTGCTTGCCTCAAAAACCATTTTCTGATTATTTTTGCCGATGGAATAAGAGATGTTTCATGACAGCCCTGCTTCCACCCACAGGACTGGAGTGGAACTGCAACTTGAACAAACAATTACTGTGGCCGCATCGCGTGTCTGATCATCGCATCACAATTTTTTTTTTTTTTTTTAAACTGGCACGGCAGAACTTAACATGAAAAGGGGAAAAGATCAAAATTCATCTATAAACTAATCATCGTACGCGACGGCGGTTCCAGGTGTCTTTCCCACTCAAAGCGATTGGTGTCACCTCAATCTTTCGTCATCAGCACACTCACACTCGCTCCGTCCTTTCAAAGGGGGATTTATTAGGGCAGCGGAATAGTAAATCATTCGACTTGACAAACTTGCGCGCGCACACCCCAAAGGCGACCCCCAAAGAGACACATTTATAGTCCTCCACACTTGGAAGTCTGTCCGTCAGGGGAAAAAAAAAAAAAGGTGAATACTTGCTAAAATGATTAAAGGGGATGTTGCGACA